GGATGACGTAAGATGTCGGCGTTGCGCATGCGCTGGTGAGTCTCGTGAAAACCAACGTTTGTTAACAGGAGCAAAGGAAGCAAAGTTTCCTTACTTTATCAAAGGAAAACCAGTCTCCTCTTGGCTTATATCGAAATCCTCCGACATTCTTCTTTACAAATCCTCGTTTTGTACTTCTAATTAGTGACCGTTGTTTTGTTTTGATCTCTCCACTGCGTTTCCGCGTTCGTCACTTCGAGACAAAGACACAAAGCTGACTTCATACGTCATCCGCCGGAGCCGTGTGAGACACTTTTTTTTATGGATGGTCGATTTTTATTTAACTTCTTTTGGACTGAAGCAATGCAACACCAGCTGAGGGGCATTAAACAGCTTGAAAGATCAAATACAATTTTTAATATAACTCTGACTGGATTCGTCTGAAAGAAGAAAGTCATATACACCTTGGGGGTGAGTAAAACACAGCCTAATTTTCATTTTTGGGTGAACTAACCCTTTAAGAAAAACCCGAAGTGATGAGCACAAAGAAAACAGTCCTATAAAACCCAGTTCACACCAACGCCGACTCCAGAAAACACTTTTTTTTAAGCTTCCTAACAATTATTTGTCAATTTTCGTTCTTTGTCTTGTTAATATGCCAGTTAACATTCACAACGCTGTTCTGCGTAAAATGTGAAAATAAGCGAATATGCAAATTCACTCTTTGCCACAAGGTGGCGCTTGTGGAACAGCAGAATTATAGCCGTTACATAAAGTAATTCGTTATTACGGGCATTATACTGCGGTAATATGAAAGGAAAATGCCATCAAAACTTTCCTGGATGAAATGTGATTTTACAGGTATAATTTAAACACCATAAATCACACAAAATATTAATTATTCATCGTCAGCAGATCAAAACAACACGGCATGTTGGCATAAATTTGGGTTATTTGGAGATTGCTAACTGTGTTTTTATTTTGAAACATGACATGCTCACGTTTAATTAGTTAAATCACAGCCGTATAAAGTTTAACGATCACATTTAAGCAATAGGACAATTCCTATTTTTCCATCCCCAGATTTAAAATCGAGACTTCGAAGCAGCACTATTTATGGAGCACAGATGACACACAGATTACATCCAAGCAAGTTACTGTATGACGTTACAGAACGTTGTCCGGTCCAGTTCCTTTCACTCAGCAGTGTTGTGTTTCTGTTAATCTGCGTGTTGACAAAGATACTCTCTGCTGCGGTTATGCATTGTACATTCCACGTACAGTATATCGATCGCGTTACTTGTAATGCGTTACCCCCAACACTGACTACAACCAGGGCGTCGCTGAAAATGAGTGTGTGAGTTTGTTTACAGAACGCTGTTGTCACTGCTGCAAACTCCCATATAAACAATTATTAAAAAAATATTATTTCCCTGCAACCAGTGGGCCCCCTTTCCAGTGTAGGCCCCTGGGCTTCAGCCCCTTGAAGCCCGTGCATTAATGCGCCTCTGCCTATAATGATAGAACTGTCATTTTAAAGATCGCTCTACTTACCAAAAGCCATTTTAGTCGACCACTTTACTGTATGACGTTACAGAACGTTGTCCGGTCCAGTTCCTTTCACTCAGCAGTGTTGTGTTTCTGTTAATCTGCGTGTTGACAAAGATACTCTCTGCTGCGGTTATGCATTGTACATTCCACGTACAGTATATCGATGGAACACGTGGAACATACCAACTATACAAACGGTGTGGGGGGAACCTAAACTGAGCCATTCACTATATAGGCTACTACAACCAGTGTTGGGGAAAGTTACTTTTAAAAGTAATGCATTACAATATTGCGTTACTCCATAAAAAGTAACTAATTACGTTACTTAGTTACTTATTATGGAAAGTAATGCGTTACGTTACTTTTGCGTTACTTTTTAAATCTGGACAGGGCTTGCTTGTTTGTTTTTAAAATAAAAAAGTTATATTTTTGGCAAATATAAAAGCCTTTTCACACCAAAAGTGAAATGAATAAGCCTCAGGCTGAAGGGAAAGTAAATTTACGTCCGTACAGTAGAATGCAGAAGAAGAAATGTCAACACACTTCAGCAATAAAAAAAAAAACACACAAATGTTTGTCTAGAGTAATTTGTGATTATTAGTACGGTTGAACTGGATCATCGAAGGTCAAAAGCAAAGACATTGGTTAATAGAATGGGATTAAATACATAAAGCATATTTGTGTTGTTTAACATTTAATTATTGCAGGTTTGCGTCATATTCTGAGTTGCATTATTTTTATTCATTTTGAGGAATACTGAATCTGTGTGTGAGTGAGATGAATTAATGCATATTCATATTTATTTTAGAACTACAGTAACATCTGATTTCTCTCAACATGGGCA